ACAACATAATGGGGGTGATTTACTAACCTAAACACACACACACACCAGGTGTGTGTGATTTTCACACAGCAAAACGTATTTATCAACCAAAAAGTCTCTAAAAGCATATTTCCACTAATGCCATATATGGAAAAATCATGCACATGATGCATATATAATGCTGCTTCACAGTTTAGACAAAAATGGTTAGCTCATGCATTTACATTCCTGCATTCATCAACGCAAGCAACATAACATAGAGCTAATTTACACCACATTACCTTGCAATTCATTGCAGGGCTTTGCACAACACACCTGCTGGGTGTGTACACACTACAAAGGTGTTTCGATTCCTCCCATAGATCATGCTGGGAGGGAACACACTACAGAGGTGTATACACGTTCGTGGTGTGTTTAAAAGGTTAGTAAATCAACCCCAATGACTCAATGAAAATCAAATAAATTACCAGGAGAACAGTCACTGTTTTAGTAGATGATATTGTTCTCCCAGATCATTGTTCTCTCGCTTCCCTGACATGTGCTTACACATAGATGTGATAAGGGTCCTACCTGACAAAAAGATGCTGGAAATAGTCAAAGAATCCATTATAATGTATATATAATATATGCATTTACATTTGGTCGTTTTGGGGTAAAATGATTGCTATAATGTCACATTACTTGTAAAGTTTACAGCTTAGACACAATAGCCCATTTACATAGGCATTTCTGACCAAGACACAACAACTGGGAACACAAGTAGCCAAAGTACCACAACAGGGAGATATATCATTTGATTGATTTAATTTAATTTATAAAACAAAGATCCATTGAGGTCTTCACACAAAAGGAGAAACAGAGACAAGTGGACCACTAGAGGCTGGACAATGACAGAGATAATGTAAGTGCAATTGATAAATAAAGTATCCATTCATCAAGGTAGTCATCCGGACATAATTAGTATGTAATCTCTAACATGTAACTATTTGCAGGAAGATGCTGGAAATCACGATGCCATTGATGATGGGATCAAAGGGATTGTGTTTGCATGTTTTTAGCGACTCCAAAAATGAATCATCACGATGAAAGAATTTACAGATTAGCTTGTCACAAGACGTATACTATTTATAACTAAATCTATAACAAATAAGGTATCCATGATGACGATACCTATGTTTTATGACTCTCAGGAAACAATCTCTTTAATTATCTGATTTGGTTTTTTCTTTAGTCTTTAAAAGTCATTTAAATCTCAGTCTGCAGAGCTCTGTTGTAATAAAGGCAAATGTAAAAGATCAATGGGTTCTTGTATGTTTTATCTTGTGTGGCTAAAGTCTTTTTTTTTCTCCTCTGCTGGGAGTAAGCAAACCCTCAGGCTCTGCTTTACACTTAAGCATAGTACACATAGTAATATTGTATTTGCAAGTCTTTATAATACCTGTCAATTGCTTTTTCATATTTCACATTGGCAAATTATGTGGTTTGTAATTTCTAGGTGTTCTCCAGCAATGCGTGATTTTTTTGACAGATAATTTGTATGCAGTAAAGGGACACATGACAAATTGTAAAAACAAGCATATGGTGTTCAAACCAGGGCAACCTAAAGCTTCTAAGTCTGTCCAGTCAAGCTTAATCAATGTTTATATATAGCTTTATATATTTAATCAAATAGGTATGAAAGCAAATCTATAAGGAAAATGAAAAGTGCAGTAACTAATGACAGGCAGTCAGGATTCTTTTTCTCAGCAATGTGGAAGTACAGAATTGTTTATTAGGAGGGTGATGGAAAAGGTATATTGGTTGGTACATTGCAGGATATTACGGCTACCCTTATCAGCAATCAAGAGGTCATAATCATAGTCATAGTTGTATTTTGGTTGACTCAAAGTTTCACCTGTCTAGCAAAGGTGCACAAGTGATCTATCTTCTTTTGTTTATAACAGTGAGTAATGGAAATAAAAGCTATATTATCAGCAAAGTCCAGATCCTCTAATGTTGTAAGAAGAGCCCTAATGATACCTCTGGGTTTAACATTAGTGGTTTGATGATTACATGGCTCAAAAATACAACAGCCACCACACATCCCTATTTTCTACCAGTATTTACTTTAAAATGCTAATCTTTATAACATGCTAAAACAGAAACAGTTATTCTCTAGTATCTACTAAAAACTGAAGTAATTATTGTGGTAGACATAAAAGTTTGTTTCTGAATCACCACCACTATGTACTAGACATGTGCACTGCCAAAAAATTCGTTTCGTTTCGTTTTAAATTCGGATTTGTGTTATTTCGTTTTTCGGGATTCGGGTGTGAAAGTCAATTCGGATTCGGAATTCGGATTCGGCCGAAATTCGGTAGCGTTCGCACGAACGTTCGTTTCGTTTTCTGTTCTTATTCGTTTCTTATTCGTTTCTTATTCGTTTCGTTCGTTTGCAGCAAAAGTGCCATTTGAGGGGGAAAAAATATTTTTCTCCTTCTCTAATGTCACTTTGCTCCAACGAACGAAACGAATAAGAAACGAATAAGAACAGAAAACGAACTGAACGTTCGTGCGAACGCTACCGAATTTCAGAAATGGAAATTCGGATTCGTTTGCATTCGTTATGTCTGTAATTCGGAATTCGGATACATCCGAATGTCCGAATTTACGAAAATTCGTCCGAATTTCGATTCGGAACGAAACGAATCGCACATGTCTACTATGTACTCATCATTGCTTATTAACTATTACTGACCAGAGTTTTGTAAGGGTTTAAACCGAAAAACAAAAATTGTGTATATTTCAGTTTACCAGTCCTATTATGTGGAAGCTGCATTAGTTTTCTTTTTAGGCTAAGAACAGATTCAGCAAGTACAAAAAATGCCTGGTGATCTTGACAAAAATGCTGTTCTTGTCACTTCCTGTGAGCTAAAAGGAAAACGCAAACATACTTATATTTCTTGTGTACACATCTAGTCTATTTGTTTTGTCTCTTATGTATGTAGCTATAGGACTATACATGCACATAATTATTATTAGATAGCTCAGACAGACATATCTGACTATCAGCATCTGCGATGGAAATAGGAAACAAATGAGCTCTACAATGATTTATTGTCAATGAAACAGACACACCTAGAGGTAAGACTTTATACTTGAGTCTTTATAATGGGGTTTACATATTTATTGCATGTAGAACCACTGCTGTAAGAGATCCGCTGCTCATCCTAAATTCTATATGATATGGTAGACCAACTTTAAAATATTTTTATATTTAATCATTAGCCATAAACTATATACTGTATATAAGTATATATACTATATAGCCAAAAGTCTGTGGATACCTGACCATCACACCACCTACATGGCTAAAAGTATGTTGACACTTTTGACACACATTATTGAGCTCAGGTTTTTCCAGTGCACGATACTTTAAAGCTACCATTTTAGACAGTTATGTGTGTTTCAACACCTATGACAACAGTTTGGGAAAGGGCTTTTTCTGCTCCAGCATGATTGTGTCCCTCTGCACAAAAACAGGTCTAAAAAGCCATGATTTGATGTGTAAGGTATTGAGGATCTCAATTCTCTCAGTTTTCTGCAAGGAGCCCCGAACGCAACCCTATTCTACACCCTTGGGATGAACAAAAATTCAGATTGTGAACCAGGTCTTCTCATCTAACATCTGTATCTGAACTACAGATGCTCTTTGGTCACAAATTTCCACGCACATTCCCAAAAGAGTGGAGAATTATATAATGGCAAAGAGTGAGACCAACTCCATATTAATGCCCATGGATTTAGAATGGGATGTCCAACAAGCTGATATGTGTGATTGTCAGGTGTCCACAAACGTATGCTTATACAGTATACCTATATTTTATGATTTATTACTAAGGATAATGTATGGTCTGTTATAGATTTGGGCTATATATTATTGTGTACTGTATATTATATTATGCTGGACTCAGTATTTAGCTCTAGTACATGCTAGAAGTAACTATTATGTTACCATAATTGATTATATATATATATATATATATATATATATATATTTCTTTATTTTTTTAATTTATTTCTTTATTTTTTTTTAATTGAGCATTATTTATCATATATGTTTTGCACTAGTAATATTTTTAGAGGTTTACGGAAGACAGTGAGGACTTCAAGATACTTACTTTTTTAGTTTATTTTTTATTATTTATTATAGTACATCAGTTTTTCAACAATACAAACTGATGAATCAGCATACAATGTATGACATCATTGTAAAATTGCCCACAAATCAGAAGATCAGACAAAGCTGCATGCAATTTTTCCGGAGTATTAAAACTTACTGCATTTTGGATTCTCCTAACTTATTTATCCCTATTCAGAAGCTTTGCATTATGTGTCACCTGCAAGTAAGGCGGTTAACTGCTGCATCAATTTAAACCTGTATAACCGGGCCATATGGAATATTTTTTCACAATGTGCTTATCGATTTAGCTTATATGTTTTAACTAGTTTTTTAAAGCAAATCTAAAAAATTGTAGGCTGCTTTTGTTAAACTTTACTTTTAGAAGTGCTAGTTGCCTGACTGTTAGGCTTCAATGTTTTCAGAGGCATTGGCCGAGTAATTGACCTACTATTGAACCTAATTACAGTCAGGCAAGTAATATTTTCAGAAAGAAGTAGGTAGTACCATAATGTAGTTCCTTTTAGATACACAATATCAGTATTAAGTGGGATGTATTTGGGATAAGCGCTAAAACACTAATTATTATAGTTATTTTGTGAACAAATACCCTGATATTATATTATTATATGAATTAGAATCTCTATTCATTATTATTGTACATTTGTATTATGATTAAAATGAAATTTATACTGAAATTTTAAACTGATTTGTCTACACATATGATGTTTGTACAATATGTTATGTCCAGCTTTTATCAAACAATGGTAAGTAAAACATTGAATGCATAACAATATTTCAGCTCACATATAGTACATACATATATACTAACTAACTAACTAACACACTTACGTATTTTACATTAATAAGTGGTAACTGTGACTTCAGTATTGATGACACTAGATTTCACACCTAGTACCTTTTTTAGAGCAGTTAACAATTTTCTGTTGCCTGTGATTAGAATTAGAGCATTTCCTGTTGGAAAAATAGAAATAACCATATAACAGATTATGATTGTTAAAAAATCAAAAGAATATATAGAATTGTTTATGCAACTAAATGCGCAATAGAAAATCAAATAAAGAATCATGAGCGCAGTTACTGTCTTAGCAGCTGATAAGTGAGTCCTTATTCTGGAATGGCCAAGTCCTTCATTGGTCTGCCTCATCCTTAACATGTGCTTACAAAGAGAGGTGATGATGGTCCCACCTGCCAAGAAGATTATTGCAAAAGCTAAAGAAGCCACTAAAATGTATACAGAAAAGATACAGTTACATTTACTCTCATAGGGGTAAAATGATTCTTCTAATGTCACATTCCCTGTGATGTTTAGGGCTGAGACAGAATAGCCCGTGTACAGGTCATAGTAGGCTGACATTCCAACTGACCAAGACAGAACAACTGAGAACACAAGTAGCCAAGGTACCACAACAGGAAGCTTTGCTTTGATTTTATAAAACAAAGATCCATTAAGGTTGACAATCTTCACACAATAGTAAAAACAGAGACAAGTGGAGCACCAGAGACTGGACAATGAGAGAGATGATACAAGAGCTAGTAGTAAATAATTTGCCCATTCTTCAAGGTAGGCATCTGGACATAAATAGTATGTAATGTCATAAACATCATTGGCTATTTGCAGGCAGATGTTGGAAATCCCAATGCTATTAATGATGAGATTACAAGGATTATGCTCACGTGTTTTTAGCCACTCCAGAAAGTGAACAATCAGGATGAAGATATTTCCAGATAAACCTATAACAAAAAGTACGCTATGGATAGCCATATCTGTAATGTATAAAATATCCATGGTGATAACAGCTATGTTTTATGATTCTTACTAAATAGTCTCTCTATTTATAATCTGGTTTGTTATTTCTCAAAAAGCTTTATCCAAAGCATTCCAATAGTTTACATTTTAAAGCTGTGATGTTAGTCCTTTATGTCGAAGAAGTCTTCAAGAGTTCTTTTCATATGTTAGTCTACAAACCTCTGTTGTAATGAAGGCAGATTTAATATATATATATATATATGAGTTCTGGTATGCTCTCACTTGTGTGATTGAAGTTGAAATGCTGTCTATTTTTTTCACCTCTACTTGAGATAGCAAAACCTCCAAAAATAGTGTTTTGCAAGTCAGTGCAATACCTGTCAATTTCTTTTTTCCTATTTGACCATGGCAAATTATGTGGTTTGAGATTACTTTGTGTTTCTCCCACATTGCAGGATTTTCTTGACAGAGCATTTGTATGTGGTGCGAGAACGGATTTGTCAAAATAAACATAAGGTGCTCAAACCAGGGGAGGTACAAGTCTGTTCAGTGAATTTCAACCAATATTTGCATTGGTACATGGGAGACATGTACCATTGCAAAAAAAATAAAAAAAAATAAAAATACTCTGCAGTGGGGAGAGGGTCCTCCTTTCAGTTAAGCTGTATGTTCTGTTATGGAGCCATGTGATTTTCACAGACAGCATCAGCAATACCAAATTCTGGCATCACGCATTTTGCATTTGTAATACAATTTTTAAATTCTACATATTTTTTTGGCTTTAATACAGTAGCAGCATCCCAATCTGATTAATTATAACTAGAAAAAGAAACCTTTTTAGGTAATTTTTGATGCGACACCTGATGGTAACAGAGCAATGTCAAAACGTCTTGCAGCACTCCTTACCGGATATCCCAAACAATGGGTGTTCGTAATTACTGCAGATGGCGCCTCCTCTAACAGAACTCAATATAGATGTCACCAGCACACCAGGGTGAAGTTTCAATTTCAGTAAGAATCAATTTTATTGAGAGATGTCACTCAAACAAACAATTTTGGGGCCGCACAGGGTCCCCTTCATCAGTCTCAGAAATTACATTTCTGAGTCTGATGAAGGGGACCCTGTGCGGCCCCAAAAGCGCTTGTTTGAGTGACATCTATCAATAAAATGGATTCTTACTGATATTGAAACGTTATCCTGGTGTGCTGGTGACATCTATATTGAGACCTGATGGTAACAGACATAAGGGAGTAGTAGCCATAACAGATCTTAAAGCTTTAGCAAATTGCACTATAGGAAAAAATAAATCGTAATACCTCAATTTTGTACAAATTGACCAGTGGTCAAGTGTATTAATATGTCAAAACTGTAAAAAATACTTCATACACATTCCACAAACAACCTTCCCACATATCTTCAATTCTTCCTAAAATATTCAAAATATAGACTTTATGTATGTGTGTGATAGAAATTGCCTAGCGTCGGGACAGCATGCTAGCATTTGAATATGTAGCAAATTAAAAGCCTGCAACGTACTGTATCAGGTGTGGTAAAAATACCATCCATTTGGGTACCACCTGCATGAGGAGACACATGACTTTGCACCAGAGAGCTTGGTGGGAGCTGCCCCTTATTGATACCAGACTGCAGTGGAACGCCCACCCTCAGTGGCCTGGACAAGGTTCTTGAGCACCATAGGTTAAGGGCCCAAATTCTCCCCCCTCCATGACTTGTGAACTAGTTCAGCAGCATAGGTTGAAGGTTCTGCCTTTTTTGTTCCCTCCTTCTGCTGAAGAGTCCAAGGTAGCTGCCTCTTCTGCCTATACCTCTGCCCAGCCCTGCCTGCACTTTGTCTTACTCAGTTTTCACTCACCCCCTCATAAATGTTTATCCATCTGCATCCACTGCTACATCTGATGCCTCAAACGATAAGGAGAGAAGAAGTTTATCTTATGGCATATGAAGTGAGGAAGAGGGTCAGCATAGGACCATGCTGTGTAGGGCTAACCATACCTTTACCTCACCATAAGTCTCCTATCTCTACCCCACCATCTCCAGCAGTATCCTTGACCAGACAGGTGGCTCTTCCAAAACTGAAGTGTAAGAAAAAATGTCACTGCCCTGCCCAGTGTCTTAATGCCAGATTGGTAAAACTGCTAAATGTACAGCTGCTCCCATTTCAGATGATGGACTCAGTCCAATTTATGGCCTGTGCTGTACCACAGTAGCAGATATCCAGCCACAATTTCTTGGCCAGAAATGTAAGTCTCCCCTTCACCAGCATGTTCAATGGCAATGTCTCTGTATCACTGAACCACATGGTGAGTGGTCCAGCAAGCATTGTGAGAATGTTTCTTCCCCCACACAGCACACTGGGTATATTTGATGGGGGCTGGAAAGGGTGCAGGATAGGTCACATTGCTGGAGGTGGTGGTGTGACCTCATATCTTGCACCTTGGTAATAGTGATAGCACAGTCACTTTGTCTCCTCAGTGGCCATATTTTTGACTCTGTGAAACCAGCATTTACCTTTCCAGGCACCCAAAAGCCTATTCAATGGCCCAGGCAAAATGCTGCTATGTTGCTGGTATGCCTGGAATACAGGAGCCACATTGGGCCAGATATGGCAGCTGGTTAGGTGCAAGGTGAGACTTGGCTGGCTGCCATGTTTCAGCATTTACCAGGCCAGGTTGTGTGTGACAACAATGCCAACCTGGTGACCACCTTTTGGCAGGTAAGTTCTACACATACGTACCTTGCTTGACACATGTGCTCAACCTGTAGTGACTGTGATGTACGCCTGGCCCTAACCCGCAGTACATCAATCCCATGTGACCATACACAAGTCTGAACCGAGCGTGAGCGTCACAAGGATGTAGCGATACCACTCTCAGCCTCACCCTGCACAGAGATTTCCCAGCTCGCAGGACACAATCTCAGGCCAGCAGACTGAGAGCGATTGTCACCATGGTTGGTTAACTCTGCAGTTAACCCTTTACCCACAAACTTCCACTGCCACCATGTATTTTTCGGAATACAAACCGTGCCCAGCAACTGCTGCGACAATTCAAAACACTTAAACAATGCCTGTGATACTGCTGTCCTCTCAGACAGGAATATGACAGGATTCACTATACAGTAGCACTCTTCAAAGAGCAAGGATACTTTTAAGTTCGTATTTAGAGCGTAGAGATAAGTTTAACGATCTTTTACATCGTCCTTTAATAAAAGAAACGGTGCAGAAAATATACAGAAAAAGATTTAATAAAAAGAGACAACATATACTGTATATACAACAGCAAAATAAAAGGGAATAAAAGAAGAATACTCAACAGTCCTGGAATTGTGAGTTCTAACAGAGTTCAGAGTTCAAGAAGCAAAGTGGAAGTCTGCAGGGCTCTTCTTCAAGCAGACTTCCAGCAGATAATGTCCAAAGATTAAAAGGGAACTCTTCTGCGATGTTAAGACTTCTAGTTCCTCGATGATGTTTAAAACAAGAGCCACTTTAGTTGCCAACACAGAATATTTTATAAGCTCCTTTTGGAGGGTGTCCCGGAGCCGGCCCCTAGTCAGGGCTGGGGCGGGAAAGCAGGCGGAGGATGAACCTTTAGTTTACCCTATCCCCGCCCAATTCCAAATTAATAAATGTAACTTGATTTTCAACCTCAGGTTTTATGACTTTAGAGAGAATGTGGGGGTCACCACCTAGCAGACCTGCTTGATTATTTTAAATTGTCCAATCATAATATATGAATGCATGGTGCCATGCCTTTAATTAATGACAGCCATATAAAGGCTTAGAGAGATATTTTGGAATTTCACTCGGGCTGGGACAATAAAATATCACAGCCATCTAGCATCTCTTCTGTGGAATGTGGAGGGACCTGTCAATTCTAAATGAAGACCTGCATTTGCTCTGACTGGGAAACAAACAAATTCTATTGATCACTTGATATGTGATACACCTACACTCTGGAACATCACTTTGTTAATGCTGCAGCAGCTGCACCAGCAGCTGAATAGGCACCATGTCAGGGACTCTTGCTTCAGGATGTAAATAACAGCTTGTGATAATTTGAAGAATCAGGGATTAGCAACACAATATCTCTAATGTTCCTACTGGAGCATACACTGTGTGGTGTAATAGACCCAGCACTGGATGCACAGCAGCATAAGGAAGAGGAGGATGTCTTGCTTGAAACAGAGACATTTCCCTCCTTCCCTTATCAAACAAAAAAATCATACAGGGATCGTTGTCACCATCCAAGAGGGAGCACACTCTGAGGTAACATGGCAAAAGACCCTCTTTGCCACAAGTCTTGATGTCCTGGTGCTTGCTGAATCCACTGGCCTGTAGGCATAGGTGAAGGGAAAATACCTAACGAGAAAGTGTTAGCTGTTCTCTAACAAAATGTCCTTGGTTTGCCAAAGCTTCCTTTTATGTGTGGTATATCACTACACATGTCTATACATCAGAGGAGTGCTCCACAGTATCCCTACTTTTGCTTCATCCTTTTTTTTGTCATAGCTGCTATTAAAATTTTTATAAATCTTATGTCTGGCTCCAGTGCACTGGAGTGAAAAACCAAGGGGCGTAGGCTGTGTTTGTCATAGCTGCTATTAAAATTAATAAATCTTATGTCTGGCTCCAGTGCACTGGAGTGAAAAACCAAGGGGCGTAGGCTGGCTGCCCTCACACAGGTTGGTTTCGGCATGATGATTTTGTAGTTTCACCACAGCTGGAGTGTTAAGGTTGCCTACCCATGTCCTATAGCTAGAAGTCCTCCCCCCTGTATTTCCACTCACCCCCACGCAATTTTCACTCGCCAATTGCGAGGGGGCGAGTGGAAATTTTGAGCCCTGTCCTATAGGATACTTTGGGTAAGGATGTCTATGAAGGTTCTCATTCATCCAGGTCATGGTATATCTGTAAAAAAAAAAATCGATCCATGGATTCGGAAATGTCTTCCGCCCCACTTTGATGCCGACTTAATAACATCTTGAGACGTTACCACTTCTCTAGACCGTCTATCATTGC